AAAGTATGATAAATTCGAAAAAAGTTAAGGTGAGACAATGATTCTGTGTTACTCCTAGGTGTGTTATATTAATCATAAGAGTTGAAAAGAGAAAGGGAGAGAGAGAGAGACAGAAAAGAGTCAGACAGACAGACAAACAAACAGACTGATAGACAGACGGAAAGAGAGAGAGAGAGAAAACAAGAGACAGGTATACACCCGAAAGAAAGAGAATCATAAACATGTTTGTCACCCTCCTCCCTCTTCCCCTCTGCCCTCATCAACTCCCTCCTCCCCTCCTCCCTTGCCCTCTCCTCCCTCCCTCCTCCTCATTCCCCTCTCCTTCTCCCCTTCCTCCCTCCTCTCTCTTCCTCCCTTCCTCTTCCCCCTCCCCTCCACTCTTTTTCCCTCCCGTCTCTCATCTCTTCTCTCTTTCTCCCTCATCTCCCTCCTCCTCTCCTCCACTCTTCCCTTCTTCCCTTCCCCCTCACCTCCCTCCTCCCTTCCTCCTCACCTTACTTTCTTCTCTCCTCTAAAACCCACATCTCCTCTCCTCCTTTCTTCCTCATCTCCCCTCCTCCCCTCCTCTGCTTCTTTCACCCTCCCCTCGTCCTCACCTCCCCTCTTCCCTTCCTCCCCTTCTCTCCCCCCCCTCCACTCCTTTTCCCATCCGTCTCCTCATCTCTCTCCTCCTCTTCCTCATCTCCCCTCCTCCCCTCCTCCGCTTCTCTCTTACTCCCCTCGTCTCCCCTCTTTCTTAATACTAAATACTCTCGCTGCTGACTGCAGGCTCGTCGGATTATTTGTGGTGTTCAGTCTTACAAAAACTAATAATCTGCGGATAGAAGGGGAGAGAGGGAGGAAAAGAAGAGGGGGAGAAAGGGAAGAAGATGCGAAAATGGAGGGATAGGAAGAGGGAATAGAGAGAGAAAAGTTGGTGAAGAGAAGGAAGAAGGGGGAAAAGAAGAGGGGAGAAAAAAGGGAAAGGGGAAAGAGGGGTAGAAAGAAGAGTTGGTGCTACCGAAGAGGAGGAGAAGGAGAAGGGAAAGAAGTGGGAGAGAAAGAGGGGAAGTGAGAGGTTGCTGCCTAAGAAGAAGGAGGAGGAAGAGGAAGAGGGAGAAGGAGAAAGAATGTGGAAAGTGGAGGAAGAGAAAGAGAGGGAAGCAAGAGAGGTGGCCCTGCCTAAGAGAAGAAGGAAAGGAAGAGGAAAAGAAAAGAGAGAGAAAGAGAAAGAAAGGGGAAAGAGGGGGATACGAGAAACATGGCGCTGCCAAAGAGGAGGAGAAGAGAAAAGGGGAAAGAGGAAAGATAAAAAGAGGGAGGTAATCGGGAAAGATGAAGCGCCTAAGGGAGAAAGGAGGAGGAAGAGGAAAGGGAAAAAAAGAGGGGAGAGGGAAAGAGAGGGGATAGTAAGCCTGTAATTCCCACGAAGATAACTAGCCGCTGATGTAGGCTTATTTACACGCCCGTACTGTTAGTCGTATACAAACACGCGCGCACACTGGAGTAGAAAGCGATAACGAGAGGAAAAGGGGGAGAGAGAAAGGGTTGAGGGAATAGACAAAATAAAATAGGAGAGGAAAGAAAGAGGGAGAGAAAGGGATGAAAGAATAGACAGAATAAAAAGGAGAGGAACGAAGAAGAGAAAGGGATGAAAGAATAAGAATAAAGGAGAGAAAGAAGAGAGGAAGAGAAAGGGTTGAGGGAATAGACAGAATAAAAAGGAGAGGAACGACAGACAAAGAAGGGAGGAAGAGAAAGGGATGAGAGAATAGACAGAATAAAAAGGAGAGGAACGACAGACAGAGAAGGGAGGAAGAGAAAGGGATGAGGGAATAGACAGAATAAAAAGGAGAGGAAAGAAAGAGGGAGAAGGGAGGAAGAGAAAGGGATGAGGGAATAGACAGAATAAAAAAGGAGAGGAAAGAAAGAGGGAGAAGGGAGGAAGAGAAAGGGATGAGAGAATAGACAGAATAAAAAGGAGAGGAACGACAGACAGAGAAGGGAGGAAGAGAAAGGGATGAGGGAAAAGACAGAATAAAAAAGGAGAGGAAAGAAAGAGGGAGAAGGGAGGAAGAGAAAGGGATGAGGGAATAGACAGAATAAAAAAGAGAGGAAAGACAGACAGAGAAGGGAGGAAGAGGAAGGGTTGAGGGGATAGAAAGAATAAAAATGGAAAGACAGACAGGGAAGGAACAAAGAGAAAGGATTGAGGGGATGAAAGAGAAAGGAGATACAAAAAGAGAAACAACGAAGACGGGAAAAAAGAGGAACAGAGACAAAGGCATGAATAGATATAGAAGCAGATACACCGAGAGAGAGAGAGAGAAAGAAATAACAAAATGCACAGGAAAGAATTACTAAAAAGAAAGAAATGCACAAAGAGAGAGTATAAATGGAGAAAAAAGGAATAGACAGTGATACAAAGAGGAGGGAGAGAAAATGAGACAGCACAATCAAGAGAGGTGGAGGAGACAATAAGGGAGAGAGAGAGAGAGACAGAGAGAGAGAGAGACAGACA